GCGAGTCCCAACCTGACTCGGTCCACCTGTCAAAACCTTTCCAACTCTCTGCGACTCACTGAGTCGCCCATAACTCGGTCAGGACTACAGACAGGGTGGTCTCAAGGACAATCTTCAAGCGACTCGTCGAGTCTGTTCTTCAGACTTGGTGAGTCCATGCCATGGACCAGCTAAAACTGGCTTTTGCGGTCAGATCCGTTCCATACATTCATAGATCTGGCCTTCCCAAGCTTATTTGTCACGTAAAGTCTCAGTCTTGGTTGCCATGCAATGCATACAAGGCTTATTTTCAAGAAACAACCTCTAATATGGCAAGTTTAGCTTCTAACTCAAAAGAATGGACATAAAGCTTGGCATATGGGGTCTCCTGGACCTGCTAAGGTCCAGATCTAGGTTCCATATCACCATGGGACCTCTCATACTTCCGATTCAAGCCAAGAAATGAAAGAAGAAACCCTAGATTTGGCACATCAACACAAAACACGAAGTTTGGCTCTGAAAATTACCTCAAGAAGACTCCCTTGATGAAATAGCAACAGATCCAAGCTCCCCAACTCTTCAAGCTTCATCACACAAAATGATGAACAACTGGCCTCCAAACACACTCACAAGGGCTCACAGTGGTATGGGGGCTCTTAGGGTTCAAGGTGGCCGCAAATGAGGGCCATAAGGTCCTTTAAATAGGGCTTAGGACCGGGAAATTAGGGTTTCATTAAACAGCGCGGACTCGCCGAGTCCGGATGCGAAACCCCGCCCAAAACCGCGACCCGACTCGGCGAGTTCGACCTCCAACTCGCCGAGTCACCTCACAGAATGTCAAAAAAATATGAAATGAAGGTACCTGGGGATCCGGGCTGTTACAATGGTGTTTGTGATTCCATTAGAGGTACAACATTTGAGGCACTAAACTTTCAAGAGTCAAGATCAAGAGGAATTGAAATTGTTATTGCTAGCCGGGCCAACACGATTGGAGGCTTGGGGCAAAATAAAAAATGGGCCCCTTTTAAAAAATTTATTTATTCGTATATTACACTATTTTATACATACATAAAAATACATTTAAATTCGTACACAATAGGATGGGGAAAACTAAAAATACAATGCTATTAGAAGTATTAAAATACTAAAGTCTCATCCCCTTTGTTTCTTCATTAACTTGTTCAGTTCTGTTCCTGTACATAAGTTGTTGACCTCCAACTGAAGTAGATTTATCATCGACAAAAAGTTGTTAGGTGAATTGCTTAAATCCAGAATACTTGTTGTTGTTAATAACCTATAAGTAGTTGAAAAAACTATACAACAACATAAAATTCTATACATATCAAAAACATAGAAATAAAAATAAAAAAGAGTACCATTCATAAATCAAAAATAAGAATATTAACATTATAAATCGAAATTACGCAATAAAGTTCAAGAATTGTCTCTAACTCAAAAATATTAACATTTGATTATGTCTCTAACTTGAACAACCTCATAAAAATCAAATTTCAAAAAAGAATATGAAATTTCAAGAGCGATAGAACATACAGAGATTCATAGTTATATTATCATAAATCAATTTCACCTCTAACAGTCGATTCTGAAAACTGAACCTTCAAATTTCTAGAAATTGAGAAAGAAATCCAATTGAGGCAATGACTGGAACTCTCAATTCAAATCTCTAGGCCAGATTCCTAAAATAAATCAAATAACCTGATTACCTTCCCATTGGTGCTATATTCTAAAAAGGAAATCGACAACAAGAAGGGAAACAATAGAATTTCTCGTTTTTTGAAATCGTGAGAAGAACGAGACACAATCAGTCTCTCAATTCTAAGATAACATTTGATTCACTAATGGTTGTTGTGGACGAATTCGGAAAATCAGAAAAGAATGAAAGAAATCGATTAACTTGAAATCTTGAATAAGAAATAGAAGAATGATCGTTAACTCTTGCTTTTGGAGAAGACATCGTTTGGATTTTCCATGGCAATGTTTGGATTTTCTATAGAAATCTGATTGTTGAAGAGTTACGATGCCTTGGAATTAGGATGCATGCCAGGTAAGTCTCATTCTCTCCCACCCTCCATCTTTTGGATTAGTTCCTGATCAGAGTATTGGGGTTTGAAGTAGTCCAATTGGCTAAAAAGTAATGGGCTGTTAATATATAACCAAAATAACAAGTTAAAAATTGGGGCCCTGTAGCATTTGGGGGCTCGGGGCGGTCGCCCAACTTGCCCATGCCCACGGACCGGCCTTGAAGGTACGTAATATCTAAACCCTATTTCATATGTTGATTAGATTATTATATGCTAGATCTAGGGTTTATGAGCTTTGGATTATTATTGCATGTTCATTAGACAAATTAGATCAAAAGCTTTAGAGTTTGCATGTACACCATAGGATTGATGTTTTGCCCAAAACCCATCAATAACACAAAGTAGGGAAATGGACAACAAGATGCAACACCAACTTTTTGAGAATAAATATGTTTTATTTTTTATTTTTTTCCCTTTTTCGTTTTTTTCCTTTTTCCTTTTTTTCTTTTTACGTTTTTTTAATCAATAAAATGAATATATTTTTATAAAACATAAAATTTTAAAAACAAAAAAAAAGACATAATATTTAAAATCTAAAATTACGATTACAATTAAAAAAAATATAATTTTAAACCTAAAATCATAACTAAAATACCATTCGAATTACTCATAAAATTCTAATTAACCCAAATATTTCTTCCTAATTTGTTCTTTCATCACTTGTAGTACCACTGGATCAACAGTCACCAAACTCTTCTCACTCATTTGAAGAATTGACAACTGATGTGTCATTAGTTCCTTTTCTTTTTGCTCCTGCTTCTCCCATGCCTGCCTTTCTAGGAACTCCAAATGACGATGTTTCAATTCGTTTTTTTCTTTTATTAATAAATTATGCTCGTCAAATTTCGCTCTTATTTCCTCCGCCTCTTTTGCTACCTCCTCCGCATGCCTTGGAGCGCGCCTCGATTTGTTGCGTCCGAGCGGTCATCGTGGTGGGGATATCCCCTTGATATCATCCGTGATATCATCGGTGTCGGCGTTTAGGTCGATGTGAGTCCGTGCGTCCGACACGTCGATCGAGCTCGAATTGCGAGACCTTTTGGATTGAACCTCCGACGATGTATGCATTTTATTCTACTTTGGATCCACTCTCAACAACTTCCATGATTTCTCAAACTCGAAAACATGTCCCATTTCGACCCGATATTGTTCTTTTGCAGATTTGAACAAATCGAAGTCGTTGGTTTTGTTTTTTTGTTGCGCCTCAAGCCGGTTGTAAATACTGTTGAATTTGCTGCACTGCTTAGTTATTTGACTCTATTTGCTGCTCAACATGTCATTGTTGCGATACAAAATATTTCTTCAAAATAGCGTGAAACTTGTCACGCATCGCCCCCCAATAAGCCACTTTCTTCATTCCATTTCTGCGGAGGTCGTCTTTTGAGGTAGTACACCATGTCGCCGTTAAAACATATTCTTCCTCCGGTGTCCGCAATTGTGGAACGTCTGTATTTTTCATTTTAACCGCTATCGATTTCCTTTCCCTCTCCTACTGCCTTCCGCTTCAACTTCAACCGATGGTTGTGTTGTAGGTGGTGGTTAGGTGATTGTTTGTTGCATCGAAGCAAAAGTAGGGAAAATATTTTGTTGTAAATTTGGGTTTGACCAAATAAACTTTGTTGAAGATAAGGTGAGTAAGCAGGATTGAAAGCGACGCCTTGATATGGGATTTGTGGTGATCTTTGAGATGATAAAAGGTTGAAATAATTTTCATAAGGGAGGAAGGAGTCGTTTCCCTCCTCCTGCTGAAATCGCTAAACCCTAGGCGGAGGGTATCGAACCCGTCCAACCCCAAAACCGCCGACCCCATCTTCTTCAACTTTCCTCTTTGATTTGTCTCCCAAGCGGGTTTCTCAAACCGCTAAACCCTTATCTTTCTCTTTTGCTTTCATCCTTTCCATCCCTTTCTTCCCTAAACCCGCTAGGACTCCTTCCTCCCTAACATACAAATCCAAGAGACGAGGTTGTGTTTGGTTGTGTATTTGGGTTTGATGATGGAGGGGGGTGTTTGGGTTTTGCTCCATTTTTAAATTTTTTTAAGAAAGTATGTGTATAAGATATGGAGAGAATGAGAGAAAAGTTAAAAAAATGGGTTAAAATTAGTACTTATATAGATAAAAAAAAGTAATTTTATGACCGTTTGCAACGGTCTCCAATACACCCAACATTCAAATTCATTGCGATTCAATCGGTCGTAACGCCCACGAGTTTCGCTATAACGAGGAGCAACGAGAAAGGGGGGGGGGGTGTGACACCCCCGTTACCATGCCGTTATGGCGTGTCCACGTCACCCGTAACGAGAAAAATTGGACCAATACCGCCTCGTCTTATGAAGCAAACTTTGCAATCTTTACACATTTTTTAAAAAAAAAATACTGTAAGAGTAAAATACACGAATGGTCCCTATGGTTTAGGGTAATTTGCGTGTTTTGGTCCTTAACTTATTTTTTTAACTTGGAAGGTTTTTACTGTTTGTTTCTGTCATACGCTTGGTCCCTCTCTTACCTAAAAAAACTATTTTATCACTGAATTTTTTAATTTATTTAAATAAACACACTTTCAACCTTACCACATTCACCTTACCTTATCTACCTCAAATTTTTTATATTTAAATAATAGTTTTTTTTAGGTAAGACGGGGACTATGTGCGTAATAAAGATAAACAGTAGAGACTAAACGCGTAACAAAAACAAAGAACAACGAATTTACGAATTAAAAAAACAAGTTAGGACCAAACATTCAAATTACCCACATACATACGTAGGAACGATTCGTGTAATTTACTTATATTTTTACCATTTAAAATAAAAAAGTTATAACGGTAAAATATCAAATTCAAAAACCATATAACGTAGGGCAGTATCTTTTTTATTTGCATTTAATTCCCGCTTCATTCACTTATAAAACACCTACTGAAAACCCTCATCTTTTTTTTTACGTTCAGTTTCTTCAACACAAACATGAAGCCAAATCGCAAACTCAAAAAACCCCAAACTTCTTCTTCCAAGGTAATTACCCACTTCTTCTATTCATCATGCTCCAATCCATTTCAAATACGCTTCACATTTGATATAATTGATGTCTGAGGGTTTGTTTTCATCTGAAATACTCAAAATGTAATTTGTTGGGAAATGTTTGTATGTATTTTGAGATCTGCAGTTCGATTTGGAAGAGATTATCGGATTAACGGTGAGGAATGGCAACGGGTTGGCTTCCAGCATTTCCAATTCCAAGTTTGTATATATGGCTGGATGTGTTGTAGTACTTTACGACATCGATTTAGGGACTCAATCGCATCTTATGGTGTCTAATCGTTCGCCCAAGCCTTTGAGCTGTGTTGCTGTCTCTCAAGATGGAAACTACATTGCAGCTGGAGAGGTACTGTGCTTGAATTTTGTAGCATATTACTTCATACACTCCAACGAAAGAATATTGTAGATTGACTTTTGTGGTTAATTGGAACTTCTGTTTGTGATGGCTTAATGAATATCAATGTCACTTATAGTTTGTCTGTCTTATAATATTTATATCATTCACAGTCAGGACAGCAACCTTCCATAATAGTATGGAGCTCTGCAACTATGGCTTCTGTTCCAGAACTTAAAGGCCATCGATATGGTGTAGCTTGCATGGCTTTCTCACCTGATGGTTAGTTGAAACAAGTCAGTTATCTCTCTAATATCTTTCTAAATTCTAAATATTCTCTTTCTAATATGTTTCTCAATATTCTGCTCCTTCACTAAATGCTGCTTCTTCTATATTATCTTCTAAAAAATCCAGGTAAACATCTTGTATCAGTTGGAATCCCTCAAGATGGATACCTATGCCTTTGGGATTGGCGAAGTGGGACACTAGTTAAAAAGCTGAAAGCATGTTCATCTTTCTCTGCTGTGTCATCAGTTACCTTTTCAGCAGATTCAAACTTCATATTGACTGCTGGAAAGAGGCATTTGAAAGTATGGACAGTTGGACTTCCTACAAAATCTCAACCTAAAACTAAAGCTGTATCACTAACAATGCATGGAAAAACTGTTGACCTTGGTCATCGCAAAGGTTGCACATTTATAGCTATTGCTACATCTCCCTTTAAGACTAATGGGAATGGAGCTGATTGCAAGGGTAGTGAATCTGTAGTTGTTTATGCGTTAACAGATTCAGGTGGATAGTTTGCATTGCTTTTTCATCAATTCAACCTAAACCCTAATTTATTCCACTTTGTGTTTGCATATCTAAATTGTTTTCCCTCTTTGACTTGCAGGCGTTTTATGCCTTCTACATGGTGGGTTGACAATTACACATTCAGTGGATCTAAAGGTAAATGATGTTGCATGTAAATCTTTGACACCAATGCCTTAGTATTGTTATTGTATTATTGCATATAATAATATTTATTATCAAACTATTAGGTTGAAAAAGGCTATGGATTATCAGCATCACAAGAGTTCATAGCATGTGCATGTAATAATGGCGTTGTAAAACTATACACTCATGGTTCCCTTGAATATGCTGGAGACTTGCATCATAGTGAATTAAAAGTCTCTCAAGATGGAATCCAACAACTGCCTACCTTTCCAGATGCAATAGCTTGCCAATTTTCTACCTCAAGAAAACTCGGTAATCTTTCTACTTCATTAAGTTTTCAAGAAAAAGATGAAAGAATCATGTTTATGTTTTCTATTTCTCAGTGGTGGTTTACAGAGATCACAGCCTCTATATTTGGAACATACATGGAAAGTTTGAGGTAATTGCTCAATCTGATTCTTTTCTCAGTTTATACAGAAATTCGATTCGATAATCAATTGTTATGTTGTTTAGGCTACAAAATGTTGTGTGCTAGTTTCACATGGTGGATGCATATGGGACATCAAGAATCTTTCATGTGAAAACAATCATGATCCTTCTCTTTCATGTGTTGCTAGAGGTTGCACAGGTGGAGTTTCCTTTGCAACATGTTCATCAGATGGAAGTATCAGATTATGGGATCTTTCCTTGCAATCTTTATCAACAGATCAACATCCTCCCATTAATGAACCACTTGCCACTTCATCATGTTTAGGTAAACAACTAACAACTAACAAACATCATATGCTTTTTAGGGTTTTACTCCAAATTCAAATTCGTTTGTTTGATTGTGTGCAGTTAGTGCTGGAACTTTTGAACGTGAATCAGTAGTATCAGGTGTTGTCACTCAAGGGTATCGATCTATGGCAGTTAGTTCAGATGGAAAGCATCTTGCTGCTGGTGATTCTCATGGAAACCTGCATGTTTTTAACCTAAACACATCTCACTATACATGCATACAGGTTTCAGATTATAAACTTATTATAATTTCTAAATACCCTTTTTCCCAATTTCCATAATCACATGGATCGGTTATTCGGCTTGCAGAATGTTCATGAAGGAGAAATTCTTTCCTTGAATTTCAGCTTCCCAATTGAGAAGACAAACAATTCTACTGTAAATTTAGAAAGCTGCTATTTTCTTGCTTCAGGAGGGAGTGATAGAATGATACATCTTTTTGATGTAAACAGGTTTGACTTTGACTCGTGTCACTTTTACCCTTGATATAGCTCTTCAAACTTCCATGAATTTGAATCTTTATATTCTTTGACATATCTCAGGAGTTTCGATCTGATTGCAAGTGTTGGTGATCATTCATCTGCTGTGACTTCAGTACAACTCATTGGACATGGGAACAAACTTATTACTTGTACTTCTGATAGGTGAGTTTCTAATTTCTGATTTCTATTGTGTATTATACCTTAATAGTGTTTTACTTCTGAATTTAATGTATATATATATATATTTTTAAAATTATCAAGGTGTTTAATCTTCCGTGATGTTGACATCAGCAACGATTATAATATTTCTCATTCACATCAGCAAAAGACATCTCATGGAAATGTACATGACATAGCCATTGATCCAATCACACATACTGCTGTTACCCTTGGACAGGTAAGCTTTATAAAACTTGAAATGCAGATTTGTTAAATGCAAGAAATAGCAATGTACTTTCATTAAATATATATATATATATATATATATATATATATATATATATATATATATATATATATATATTTTTTAATTTTTATTGATCAAGTTAATTTAATACTATAGGATAAGAAGATAAACATGTTGGATATTGCTTCAGGGCAAGTAATTAGATCATTTAAGCAGAGTGAAGATTATGGGGAACCAATGAAAGTAAGTATTTTTTTCATATTTTCAGAATGGGTTTATAAATTTATTTAATGACGAATTTGCCCCTCAGGTTGTGTTGGATCCAAGTTGTAGCTATGTGGTGTGTTCTTATTCTGATAGATCTATCTGCATGTATGATGTAACCAGTGGAGAAATTGTCGCACGTGCAATGGGGCATGGTGATGCCATTAATGCCATCATTTTTTTACCTGACTGCAAGCATATAGTCTCTGTGAGTAGTATATAAAAAAACTTCAAGTGGAAGGGCATTTTAGGAAACTGTTGCATTTTTCTTACTATTAACTTTATTGATTTTTTTTTTTTTTTTTCAGGTAGGAAGTGATAGCTGTATATTTGTTTGGAAAGTTCCTAGTGTTATGACATTAAGAATGCTGCAAAAAACGAATGGAAATTCATCTCCTTTGTCCCCAACTGCTATTACTCAACTTCCATCTGTCAATCAAATTAAATTTAATAAAGAAAAGTATCTCCGATCGCAAGCCGCAGGTGCAAATTTCCTAAAATGCCCTCAACAACAGACATCATCGGCGTTCAGATTTAGCGTATCCAGACTTCCACAGTGGGCGAAATCAAAAGTCACGAGTCCTTTGGTTATTCCCATGGACCCTATATCATCTGAACATTCTTCTCCCTCAAAATCTAGCACGTGTGTAGAAGATGCTGACGTGGACTTCGCATTAGCGTTACAATTACATACACCACGCAACAACAGTGAGACAGATTCAAGGAAGAGATTGTCGACAAGTTCATCTGATGCGAGTAATAGCAAAGATTGCAGGTATTTTTTTTTTATTTATTTTTTTTTATTATCGAGAAGAGAATAAATAAGAATCAGCAAGTGAATTTACGGTTTTGCCCTTGTGGTATTTATTATTTAAACAACGTGATACAGGAGCTTTGCATTGGATAAACGATGGGTGACTATTCATACTGTATGTTTAGATGTATTAAATTCTCCCGGAGTTTACAGCCTTATGAAGGAACAAATGACGCCTATGAAAAAAAGCTATTCAAGAAGGTTTTCTATAACCCAACACCAACAGGTATACAAAGGGTAAAATGGTCATTTAACCTTATTCAGACGTTTTTTTTTTTAATCCTTTGATGGAATGATGAATGGCAGGACATGGTAAGAAGCTCAAACTCAACAACAGAACATGAAATGGAAAACATGAAAGACCAAAAAGATGATAATGACATGAAAAGAAACGAAAAACAAAACACAGTATTCGATGCTTGTAAAGAAGCATTAAAAACATTAGAAGCCTCAAGCAAGACTACCCTCGACCTATTTTCTAAACTAACACATGAGAATCTTCAAGGACAAGAAGGTAATTTTTACAGCGAGGCAGCAGAAATGCTTCCATCGATTGCAAAAAACGTGAATGAAATCGCGAAAATTGTGAGTTCATGTGGGGGAGATAAAGTGGAAATTCCCGGGTTTGAACCATTATTGGGAAAGTTTGCTGAGAGTTTGTCTCAAAGAGTAATTGAATTACTTAAGGAAAACTGCCCAAATTTATGATACAAAAAAATTGTATATCAACACTTTTTTTATTAATCTAAATGCTTCAAATCTTTCACTGTGTTTGATAATGAATTTACTAAGGTAATAAGATGTGAGGTTTGAAAACTGAAAATTCACTATCTACTAATAATCATTTGTATTTTTTTTTAGAAAAGTAAAAAATTATTGTAAATATTTTGACATTGATTTTTTGTCTGTAACATGAAGAAAAGTAAAAGGCGATATATGATTATCTTTAGCTTTTCACCTTTCAAATTTTTAAAGAAAAAGAATATCAATAGTGAGCGATGATTTTGATGCAATTTTTTCAATATTTAATTCTATCTTCTCGTTTAAACGTTTTTCTTACAAATTAATGGTAATTTGACTAATTTCTTTTTCCAATCATGAATTTTATGATTAATTATTAAAAGTGTTTGTATTACTTTTGTTTTATTTGTAGAATCATGTGCATGTATGGATGTACAAAAAAATGTATGTGTATATAAGTGGGGTAATATATAATGAAGAATAATAATTAAAAAAACATCATAATTTGTTATAATGGCAATGCATTGACAAAATTCTTAGTATTTAAGCGTGCGTGTTTGATAGTCTTCCATTATTTCATCTCCATCATCATCAATCATCTAATTAATATTCCTTTCTGAAACAAATTTATAATTTCCAATCCATTTTTAATTATTTAAAACGAACTGTCACTTTCATCTAAATAAATACAATATAAAGATCTATAACATGGACTGGGACATTGTCTTCAAAATATATTTGATTCATAAATGTGTATATGCTAAAAGCCTTTTTATAATGACAAACTAAAAGAAGTAAATGCAAATATCTAAAATATATCCATGCATAACAAATGGAATCTATATTGTGTTGACATAATTTGCTGTAATGTATGAAAGAAGATATAGAAACAAATGTAGAAAATTAGATCCTTGCTTCTAGACCTCCAAAAAAAAAAACTAAGTCCGTATAAAAGTTAAAAAAAACTCAACTTTATCTAGCATATGTCCATCTCCTCTAAACATGTTTTCATCTAATGTTGAAGAACAACTAGATAGACTACAAGAACATATCCACATCATTCAAGCATCCATTACAACATCACAAGACAAAATGTGTAAAGTAAAATTATTGAGGACTTTGAAAAGTATACAACTGATTTGGAGAAGACTTTAAAGAAACTATATGACAATGTAACTGGTTTACAAGATAATCTTTCCTCTATAGTTCTACTAACATCATATTACTCATTCAAGCTTTGGAAAAAGAAATGTGAAGAGAGAGCAAGGCCATGATATATATATTATAGCTATGTTTTATATATATTCATGTATACATAAATCGTGCAAATAAAAAAAAAACAGAAGGAATATAAAAAAATAGGAATTACATGAGTTTGTGATTCCTAAAGGGACGAATAGGATATAATTGAAAATGACTGGGTAGGCATATGGGAAGACACACACATAAATATTCAAAAACAAAAACAAAAACAAAACATTAAAGAGAGAAGGAAAGCGAAATGAGAGAAACTGGCGTGAATTGCTTTTGCTTTTTCTTCAACTCCACAGGAATCTTTAGAAATCCTGTTTTATTCCTAATAATAATTCATCCAAAACAAATATTTTATGTATAAAAACTTATATATTATTAAACTTTAATATGTTTATGTAACAATTAAAAGTTTTAGAGGCTATTTGATATACCTCTTATCGGATTTGGTTAGAGGCTTGATCTAACTCGGTCAGATTCAGACTGTTTAATATCATATTTAGAAGCCTCTGACTTGGTTCTGGATCATCTGATATATCTCTTACTCAGTAAAATTTATAATTATATCTGATTCATTGAGACTTTAACTCCCTAAGTAACTATCAAACAACCTCTAATTAAAATCTATAACATAAATTAAACTAGTTGTGATGATTTTTATTTAATCACAACTAATGAACAGTTATGAATTTGGGTAACATTTTAATGTATATATTCAATCTAATTGTAAGTTTAATTACATATAATCATTTTTTGACTTTTTTTTTTAATTTTTTTTTTTTGGATAAGTTAGCATTGTATAAGACTTTTCATTAGTTGTTTATATATTTAAAAATGATCAAATATTCAAATACTCATTATTGATTATTAATCTGAAAAAGCAATAATGTATCTAGATGTTGTCTTCTACATCTATTTTATTTCATTAAAAAACTGTTTAATTACGAGCCAATACATATAGCTTTACCTATATCAACTTAAACAAAATCTTATTGGTGTTCAAGTTTTTGCTGATAACTATTATTACTTTGATAATAAAATAAAATTTTAAAATAAACTTAGGGATTTAACCACGTGTTATAGGTTAGAGCATTATAAGAAAAGCATACTTATATATTACATAGAGGAATTTGGGGTCCTCTAAATGACCCAAAAATCACGCCTACGCCACCGATAAGCCATAGTGAATGTGATTATGAATGTTTAGTAAATCAGTTTGAATGCTGTTAATTGGTAATTGAAATATATAACTTTTATTTGTTTATTTGTATTTGAGTGTTCGATAAAAATATTTAAAAACTTTTTAAAAAAATTACCGATTAAAAAAAACTCAATTTATAAAATTATAAAAGTTTTTTATGTTAAGCGCTACGTGTGAAGTATCTTTTGGATTTAAAGCCTTTTGATTTAGCTAAAAGTTAAAAGCTCTAATCCATAACAATTAAAAAAAAAAAGGCAAAAATAGCTTCCAAAAAATAAGTGAGTTTGTTTTAAGGCAATATAACAAAAAAATATAACTGTTTTATAGTTTAGTAAATAAGTTTTTTGCTTTAATTTTATAATTAAACTCTTATATTTTATTTGTTTATATAAATATTATAAATACAATTGGTTTTGTCGATAAAATTATCTATTTCCAAGATGACAAATAAGTGTAAAAATTTATCATTAAACTCCAAAAAGGATTAATAAATAAAAGGTTAAAAATATATCACATTTTATTGTATTTTATCCTACTTCTAGATATAAAAATGAATACGATTTATTCCACTAGCAAAGACACGACATACAATCCTTTACAAATGATTACATTCATAAAATTTGAACATTTTTACCTATTGTTTTAAGTATACATGAATGGAGCAGCTGATTTGATAGTGTTGTTTCTTTAAAAAAAAAAGTGCAATAATGCTTACATGTTTTTATATAATAACTTTAGGACACACTGTAAGAAAATATTATTTATTTATAATATTTTCCAATTTAATGTAATGTGAATAACAAATCGAAAGATCATTTGGAACTCATATGCAATAAGATTATGGGTAGAAGTTTGTAGAGTGTATAATGAATTTCGAACTTGAAGAGTTTAATGAGACTTCAAAATCTTTTAACAATAAATGTAAATAATGCGTACATGTTTTCATATAATAACTTTAGGGCACACTGCAACAGGATTATGGGTAGAAAGTTTGATAACCATTTGTGTAATAATTTATAGAAAAATGTCAAACTTCAAAATCTTTTAAGAGTAAATGTAAGTTGTCATCAAATAACCTTTGACCTAGCAATATTAGTGTTGGATTAATGTCTCTCAGTCTACGATTGAAAGTTCAAATCTCGTTGAAGACAAAAATATATTAATTTAGAAGAGTTATAAATTCGAGTTAGCCATTAAAAACAACAAAAATAAATTGCCAACATAGTATACGAGGGCATCACGATCAATATAAGAGACAAGGTAAATATAACCAACTCTAACTATTTAAAACATATCATAAAGTCTTCAAAAATCCTCAAATGCTCCTCCATCTTCGATGCCCACTGAATATTATATTATGAGTACATTTCAAAATATTATATTATGCTTGGGAAACCTAATGCTTATATCATGAGAGTAGACAATCAAAGATGATATATAAAAGAACTCAATTTATATATAAGTCCTAACATGTTTTGTAACATCCCAACTGTCAGGTATTATTATTACTCAATTAAGGCTTCATGTTTTAAAGCCTACTCCACGAGTGGATGCTATGACTTGTCGAGTAGTAGCGGCATGGGACAAGTCCTTTAATGATTTAACTCGACGAGTCGGGAAGGGGACTTGACGAGTAGGAGCTGGCGGGGGAAACCCTAAATTTCAGGGGTTTTGCACCCTATATAATGGACCATTAGCGCCTCCCATTGTCTTTTATCACCCCCTTGAGAGCTAGAACCCTAATTTTCGTGTGTGTGAGCCTTGTGAGTGTTTTAGAGCTTTGGAAGTGATTTAATGAAGGAATTTTGTAGACCAAGAGGCTAGCCTCAAGGGAATCCATGTGGATCCAGAGTCTACTTCAGTTTGGGCACATTTTAGAGGTAACCAACTGATTACCTTGATCTCTTTCCTTCTAGAATCTCTCTTGTGTAAAGTTTAGGGCTTCTTTAGCTTATTTATGAAGGGATTATTGTGTGGGAGCTAGATCTGAAGTTGAAACTTCATATCTGAACCTCCCTTGGGTCCTAAGTTCATAAAGTTCTCAGTATTGTCATGAGAGAACCCTTCCTTATGAGTAAAGCTTCATTCCAAGCTTGGATTCAAATTTTAAGGTACACAAATACGTAAAGGTAGCAAACTTTACGTTGCTAATGCACTCTAAGGACCTAGATCTACTGTTTGGATCAGAGGAATAGTTCAGAATTGCTTGATCATGGGAGTATTTGTATAGACTCGGCGAGTCTGGGAGATGACTTGGTGAGTCGGGTCTGGTTTTTGTCCGAATTGGTCCCACGTGGACTCGGCGAGTCTGGGAGATGACTCAGCGAGTCAGTTTGGGTTCCCAAGCACTGGGCCGCGTATTGACTCGGCGAGTCAGTTAGAAACTTGGCGAGTTGAGTCGAGTAACTCTTGAATCAGTAGGAACTCGATGGAGGGAAGTTTACACTCAACATATAGGGCAACATGGATTGTTGACCATCGACCGGTGACCTTGACTTTGACTAGGGAGTGTCTTGTGCCTTCCAAGGGCTTTTTGG